CATCATATATCATATAGTCAAATATCACAACAAGCATACTTCACTTTAATTTAGCAACTCAATGAACGTTCATGCAGCACAGTAAACATACAAATTAAATTAAATAAGCTTCCCTTACCTCTGAGCGTAAACGAACGTCCTAGAGACAGAAATACGGTTCGCTTGACTACGATTCCTTCTACCCTCAACGCTCAACAACTCTTCAAACTAGAATCAAACAACAAACCAAAATGGTTTAGAATGAGACTATGAACTCATGCAACCAAAACTTGGTTTGCATGTGTCCGAGAACGAACGACTAAGGACAAGAAGAACTTACCCATTCAGAACTCGAAACTGATCGGTTCAAACTGAAGCTTGGGACGCCGGAAGTGCTTCTGCGGTGCCTGAACGGAGATCGGAGAAGAGAAAAGGTAAGATTTCGTAGAGAGAAGGGAGAGCTTTTAGTGAGAAGGAGGAGAAATATCAGACTTTTGGAGAAGAAGATGCATGCAGAGAGTGTGACGCAACTTTATAAAAAGTCAGTTTTGCTTAAAACAAACGTCCGCTCATCTGCTGACACCTGCATTCCACTATCTGATTTCCGGATCACTCCCGCTTGACACCTTGCGTCTGTTTAGAGGGGTTTGGGTGCGTTTTTAATGGTTCTGACATTCCCCCTAACTACAAAAATTTTCGTCCTCGAAAATTTAAGACTTACCCGGAAATAGATGAGGATACAAGTCCCTCATGGCATCCTTCACTTCCCATGTAGAGTCGCCAGTCTTCTCTTCCCAGACCACTTTCACCAATCTGATGGCTTTCCTCTTGTAATACTTGGTATGACTATCTTCAACACGAACAGGTTGCATCTCTAGCGTACGATCTTGACGAAGACGAACGTCCTCTAACTCCAGTACATGAGAAGGGTCTGCTATGTATTTCCGAAGTTGAGAAACGTGGAAGACTGGATGAAGGTTGGACAGTTGAGGAGGCAAGGACAACTCGTACGCAACTGGTCCAATTCTCCTTAAGATTTGATAGGTCCAACAAACTTGGGAGATAGCTTCTTGGGACGAACGACTCTGCCTACTCCAGTAGTTGGATTCAGTCTAAGAAAGACATGATCTCCTACCACGAACTCCAAAGGCCTTCTTCTCTTATCAGCGTAGGACTTCTGCCTGCTTCGTGACATCTTCAACCTCTCTTGGATTAACTTCACCTTTTCGGTTGTCTGCTGAATAAGTTTAGGTCCAGTCAACACCTGCTCTCCTTCCTAGAACCAACATAGTAGCGTTCGGCATTTTCTCCATTAGAGGGCTTCAAATGGAGCCATCCCGATGCTGGACTGAAAATCGTTGTTGTAGGTGAATTCCACTAGTGGTAAGACTTCATCCCATATGCCCATGTGATCTAGCACGCACGTCCTTAGCAAGTCTTCAAGCGTCTGGATGGTTCTTTCAGATTGACCGTCCGTCTAAGGGTGATAGGCTGATATCATTTGGAGTTTGTTACCCAACTCGCTTTGCAGGGACTGCCAAAACCGAGACGTAAACCTTGTATCTCGGTCAGAGATGATGCTGGATGGCACTCCATGCAAACGAACGATCTCGCTGATGTAGAGTTGTGCAAGCTTCGTCATGGACATCTTCAGGTTGACAGCTAAGAAGTGTGCGCTCTTCGTTAGTCGATCCACTATCACCCAAATGGAGTCGTGATTCTTGATCGTACGGGTAAGTGGATTACGAAGTCCATGGAAATGTTGTCCCACTTCCATTCAGGAATCTCAAGTTGGTGAAGTAGACCACCCGGTCTCTGATGCTCTGCCTTGGCTCGTTGACAAGTCAAACATGATGCCACAAAACGAGCGACATCACTCTTCATTCCCGGCCACCAGAAAGACTTCCTGAGGTCTTGATACATCTTAGTCATGCCAGGATGCATGCTAAGACGAATTTGATGTCCTTCTTCAAGAGTGACCCTCTTCAGTTCGCCATCGTTTGGAATGCATGTCATGTCTCTGTATCGAAGGAGACCGTCCGTTCCCGTATTGAAGTATTTAGCTTTGTCTGTACCGAGTGCGCTCAAAATCTTCTGTAGGTCTTCATCAGCTGACTGTTTGTCTCTGATCCGGTCAAAGATATTACTGGATACTCTAAGGTTACAGAATCTAATACTGTTTGGTTCTAAATCGAACTGCAACCTTAAGTCTCTAAAGCTTTCCACTAAACTCAGCTCTTTGACCATCATTGCCGAGACATGAACTACCTTCCTACTCAAAGCGTCCGCTACAACGTTTGCCTTCCCTGGATGGTAGAGTAGTTCAAAATCATAGTCCTTCAAGAACTCAAGCCACCTCATCTGCCTCATATTCAACTCCTTCTGATCAAAGAGGTACTTGAGACTCTTGTGATCGCTGAAGACTTGGAATGTAGATCCATATAAGTAGTGCCTCCAAATCTTCAACGCAAAGACCACTGCTACCAACTCCAAGTCATGTGTTGGGTAGTTCTTTTCATGTATCTTCAGCTGCCTAGAAGTGTACGCGACCACCCTCCTTTCTTGCATAAGTACACAACCCAAACCTTGATGAGAGGCGTCACAATATACCTCGAACGGTTTGGTCATGTCAGGAATAACCAATACTAGAGTACTCGTCAACTTCTGCTTCAGTTCTTGAAAACTTTCTTCACACCGATCGGTCCAAGCGAACGGGTGATCCTTTCTGGTCAGTTGCGTTAACGACTCTACTATCTTAGAGAATCCTTCGATAAAACGCCTATAGTAGCCTGCCGGCCCTACGAAACTCCTAACCTCAGTGACAGAGCGTGGGCTTTCCCATTCCAATACCGCTCGTACTTTAGTCGGGTCCACTGAGATCCCTCCAGCCAAGACTACATGCCCCAAGAACTGTACTTCCTTCATCCAAAACTCACACTTGGATAATTTGGCGTATAATTCCTTTTCCCTCAATACACCAAGTACGATCCTCAAGTGTTCTTCATGTTCTTCACAGCTCTTGGAGTAGATGAGGATATCAGCAATGAAGACGACCACGAACTTGTCTAGGAACGGCCTAAAAATGAGATTCGTGTAGTCCATGAATATCGCTGGTGCACTAGTGACACCGAACGACATCACTACATACTCGTAGAGTCCGTAACGAGACCGGAAAGTTGTCTTCTAGATGTCCCCTTCCTTGACCCGAATTTGATGATACCCAGACCGTAAATCAATCTTTGAGAATATTATAGCCCCATGCAGTTGATCCAATAGATCATCAATCCTTGGCAAGGGGTACTTGTTCTTGATGATCAGCTTGTTTAACTGTCTGTAGTCAATACAAAGCCGAGAGCTGCCATCCTTCTTCTTCACTAAGAGAACTGGCGCTCCCTAAGGTGATGCACTTGGCCGAATAAACTACTTGTCCATTAAATCTTCAATCTGTTTCTTAAGTTCGACAAACACAGCTGGTGACATCCGATAAGGTGCAACAGAAATGGGTCCCGCTGACGACACCAAGTCAATGGTGAATTCTACCTCGCGAGGAGGAGGTAGTCCAGGTACTTCATCCGAAAAAACGTCTGATAATTCATCCACAACCGATCGTCCTCCATTTAGCTTGCTACTGGACGATCGTTCATGACTTAAATCCTCACACTTCTCATTCGCGTGCGTTATTATCAGATAACAGCTCGCCCCCTCCATAATATCTTCCCTTAGCCTACCGAGCGTTACTGAAAACTCTTCTTCTTCTTCATCCGGAAATACTAACTTCTTCTCACCACAATCTATGAGAATGCGATTGGCAGCCAACCAATCCATTCCTAGAATCACTTCCAAACCTTGAAGAGGTAAGAAAATGAGGTTCACCTTATATCTACGTCCCTCAACCTCAATAGGGCATCTAACACAGACCGTAGACGTCCTAACCTCACTAGCCGCTAGGGTTGACACCACCAAGTCGAACTGCATGTCACTCTCAACCAAACCCAATTTCTCAACACGCGCCTTCGAGATGAAGGAATGTGTTGCCCCCGAGTCATACAACACACAACAAGATTTACCATACAGCAAGAAAGTACTGAAAATGAGGTTACCTGAGCTTGTTGCTTCCGCACCCGTTATAACATAGACACGCCCAACAGCCTGTGCTCGTCCACCCTTTCCTTGTTGAACTCTTCCAGCATTCGGTGGCCTCATCACTACTCGTCCTCCCATGTCACACTCGCTCCCCAGATGACCATTTCTTCTACAACGAGTGCAAAACTTTCCTCCCAATAGTTGAGGACACAACGACCGGTAGTGTGGTCCTCCACACTGAAAACATGTTACGGTCCCTTGCTGTCTAGACCGACCAACAACCACCAAATATTGTGACTGAGACCCACCAGAAGTAGATGGTAACGTTGGACGAGCGTAAGGCGTTCTCCTCAGATTCACATTGTTTCTTGAAGATATCGGTCCTCTTGATGCATGTTGTTGCTGTTTCTTCTGTTGTTCCACCTCTACCACGTTCTTCTCCAATACTTTAGCTCTCTCAACCATGGCAGGAAAAGACCTAATACATAGGCTGGATATCAGTAGCTTCAAATCACTCCTCAGCCCATTTTCAAACTTCCTACATTGTCATTCCTCACTGGTCGTCATAGTGTTAAATCTCACTAAGTGTTTAACTTGTTGGTGTATTCCGACACATACATCCCACCTTGCACCAACTGAAGAAACTCCATCTCTTTAGCGAAACGCACGCTATCTAGGAAATACTCCTCATAGAACTTGCTTCTAAAGACTTCCCATGAGATGCGACTTTGGGCGTCCGCCAAAATCATCTTTATGCTCGTCCACCAATGACTGGCCTGCCCCGTCAACAAGTACCCTGTAAAGGCCAGCCTCTTGTCATCTGGACACCCCTTAGCATTATAGATTCGTTCCATGTCTCTTAGCCACTGATCGGCCTCATCAGGGAGGCACTTACCATTGAACTTAGCAGGGTGATGTTGGAGGAAACTCTCTAAGCTTCACTCGGTCTGATGAGTAGCGTTGGAAGTGAACGCTCCGACGATATTCCTCGTGGTGGCTACGATCTCCATCAGTTGTCTTTGAGTCGCTTCAGAGTTGGCACGTGCGGCTTCCAAACTCTGTAAAGCGATCGTGTTCTGCTGCACCAAGGCAGCGTTCTGCTGTTGAAGTGTTTCTATTACTGATTCCAATAATCTATTGTGATCAACTGTATCNTACTATTGGAATAGTGTTTAAGAATAACTAAAATATACAATTACATATATTTACAAATTTAAGTTTATCACAGAATACCCAGATACAACTATGCTTGGCCGAATGCTCAAGCATAGTACTACCACACGAAGACGCTCGTCCTCAACTAAGATTCTTTCCAAATGAAAGAATCCAATTTTAACCAGGATTTCTAGTATTACCGAACGTCAATGACCGTTCAGTGACGAACGTACACTATCATAGGGAAATTTCATATCTAGAATTTCATTCATATTCAACTCAGTTCTTAACACATAGTTTCATAACTTTATACAATCATATCATAATCAATTTTCATACTTCATTTAATCTATATCATATAAATTTCATATATTTCATACCTCAAAACATAGCAACCATCATATATCATATAGTCAAATATCACAACAAGCATACTTCACTTTAATTTAGCAACTCAATGAACGTTCATGCAGCACAGTAAACATACAAATTAAATTAAATAAGCTTCCCTTACCTCTGAGCGTAAACGAACGTCCTAGAGACAGAAATACGGTTCGCTTGACTACGATTCCTTCTACCCTCAACGCTCAACAACTCTTCAAACTAGAATCAAACAACAAACCAAAATGGTTTAGAATGAGACTATGAACTCATGCAACCAAAACTTGGTTTGCATGTGTCCGAGAACGAACGACTAAGGACAAGAAGAACTTACCCATTCAGAACTCGAAACTGATCGGTTCAAACTGAAGCTTGGGACGCCGGAAGTGCTTCTGCGGTGCCTGAACGGAGATCGGAGAAGAGAAAAGGTAAGATTTCGTAGAGAGAAGGGAGAGCTTTTAGTGAGAAGGAGGAGAAATATCAGACTTTTGGAGAAGAAGATGCATGCAGAGAGTGTGACGCAACTTTATAAAAAGTCAGTTTTGCTTAAAACAAACGTCCGCTCATCTGCTGACACCTGCATTCCACTATCTGATTTCCGGATCACTCCCGCTTGACACCTTGCGTCTGTTTAGAGGGGTTTGGGTGCGTTTTTAATGGTTCTGACATTCCCCCTAACTACAAAAATTTTCGTCCTCGAAAATTTAAGACTTACCCGGAAATAGATGAGGATACAAGTCCCTCATGGCATCCTTCACTTCCCATGTAGAGTCGCCAGTCTTCTCTTCCCAGACCACTTTCACCAATCTGATGGCTTTCCTCTTGTAATACTTGGTATGACTATCTTCAACACGAACAGGTTGCATCTCTAGCGTACGATCTTGACGAAGACGAACGTCCTCTAACTCCAGTACATGAGAAGGGTCTGCTATGTATTTCCGAAGTTGAGAAACGTGGAAGACTGGATGAAGGTTGGACAGTTGAGGAGGCAAGGACAACTCGTACGCAACTGGTCCAATTCTCCTTAAGATTTGATAGGGTCCGACGAACTTGGGAGATAGCTTCTTGGGACGAACGACTCTGCCTACTCCAGTAGTTGGATTCAGTCTAAGAAAGACATGATCTCCTACCACGAACTCCAAAGGCCTTCTTCTCTTATCAGCGTAGGACTTCTGCCTGCTTCGTGACATCTTCAACCTCTCTTGGATTAACTTCACCTTATCGGTTGTCTGCTGAATAAGTTTAGGTCCAGTCAACACCTGCTCTCCTTCCTAGAACCAACATAGTAGCGTTCGGCATTTTCTCCATTAGAGGGCTTCAAATGGAGCCATCCCGATGCTGGACTGAAAATCGTTGTTGTAGGTGAATTCCACTAGTGGTAAGACTTCATCCCATATGCCCATGTGATCTAGCACGCACGTCCTTAGCAAGTCTTCAAGCGTCTGGATGGTTCTTTCAGATTGACCGTCCGTCTAAGGGTGATAGGCTGATATCATTTGGAGTTTGTTACCCAACTCGCTTTGCAGGGACTGCCAAAACCGAGACGTAAACCTTGTATCTCGGTCAGAGATGATGCTGGATGGCACTCCATGCAAACGAACGATCTCGCTGATGTAGAGTTGTGCAAGCTTCGTCATGGACATCTTCAGGTTGACAGCTAAGAAGTGTGCGCTCTTCGTTAGTCGATCCACTATCACCCAAATGGAGTCGTGATTCTTGATCGTACGGGTAAGTGGATTACGAAGTCCATGGAAATGTTGTCCCACTTCCATTCAGGAATCTCAAGTTGGTGAAGTAGACCACCCGGTCTCTGATGCTCTGCCTTGGCTCGTTGACAAGTCAAACATGATGCCACAAAACGAGCGACATCACTCTTCATTCCCGGCCACCAGAAAGACTTCCTGAGGTCTTGATACATCTTAGTCATGCCAGGATGCATGCTAAGACGAATTTGATGTCCTTCTTCAAGAGTGACCCTCTTCAGTTCGCCATCGTTTGGAATGCATGTCATGTCTCTGTATCGAAGGAGACCGTCCGTTCCCGTATTGAAGTATTTAGCTTTGTCTGTACCGAGTGCGCTCAAAATCTTCTGTAGGTCTTCATCAGCTGACTGTTTATCTCTGATCCGGTCAAAGATATTACTGGATACTCTAAGGTTACAGAATCTAATACTGTTTGGTTCTAAATCGAACTGCAACCTTAAGTCTCTAAAGCTTTCCACTAAACTCAGCTCTTTGACCATCATTGCCGAGACATGAACTACCTTCCTACTCAAAGCGTCCGCTACAACGTTTGCCTTCCCTGGATGGTAGAGTAGTTCAAAATCATAGTCCTTCAAGAACTCAAGCCACCTCATCTGCCTCATATTCAACTCCTTCTGATCAAAGAGGTACTTGAGACTCTTGTGATCGCTGAAGACTTGGAATGTAGATCCATATAAGTAGTGCCTCCAAATCTTCAATGCGAAGACCACAGCTGCCAATTCCAAGTCGTGCGTTGGGTAGTTCTTCTCATGTATCTTCAGCTGCCTAGAAGTGTACGCGACCACCCTCCTTTCTTGCATAAGTACACAACCCAAACCTTGATGAGAGGCGTCACAATATACCTCGAACGGTTTGGTCATGTCAGGAATAACCAATACTAGAGTACTCGTCAACTTCTGCTTCAGTTCTTGAAAACTTTCTTCACACCGATCGGTCCAAGCGAACGGGTGATCCTTTCTGGTCAGTTGCGTTAACGACTCTACTATCTTAGAGAATCCTTCGATAAAACGCCTATAGTAGCCTGCCGGCCCTACGAAACTCCTAACCTCAGTGACAGAGCGTGGGCTTTCCCATTCCAATACCGCTCGTACTTTAGTCGGGTCCACTGAGATCCCTCCAGCCAAGACTACATGCCCCAAGAACTGTACTTCCTTCATCCAAAACTCACACTTGGATAATTTGGCGTATAATTCCTTTTCCCTCAATACACCAAGTACGATCCTCAAGTGTTCTTCATGTTCTTCACAGCTCTTGGAGTAGATGAGGATATCAGCAATGAAGACGACCACGAACTTGTCTAGGAACGGCCTAAAAATGAGATTCGTGTAGTCCATGAATATCGCTGGTGCACTAGTGACACCGAACGACATCACTACATACTCGTAGAGTCCGTAACGAGACCGGAAAGTTGTCTTCTAGATGTCCCCTTCCTTGACCCGAATTTGATGATACCCAGACCGTAAATCAATCTTTGAGAATATTATAGCCCCATGCAGTTGATCCAATAGATCATCAATCCTTGGCAAGGGGTACTTGTTCTTGATGATCAGCTTGTTTAACTGTCTGTAGTCAATACAAAGCCGAGAGCTGCCATCCTTCTTCTTCACTAAGAGAACTGGCGCTCCCTAAGGTGATGCACTTGGCCGAATAAACTACTTGTCCATTAAATCTTCAATCTGTTTCTTAAGTTCGACAAACACAGCTGGTGACATCCGATAAGGTGCAACAGAAATGGGTCCCGCTGACGACACCAAGTCAATGGTGAATTCTACCTCGCGAGGAGGAGGTAGTCCAGGTACTTCATCCGAAAAAACGTCTGATAATTCATCCACAACCGATCGTCCTCCATTTAGCTTGCTACTGGACGATCGTTCATGACTTAAATCCTCACACTTCTCATTCGCGTGCGTTATTATCAGATAACAGCTCGCCCCCTCCATAATATCTTCCCTTAGCCTACCGAGCGTTACTGAAAACTCTTCTTCTTCTTCATCCGGAAATACTAACTTCTTCTCACCACAATCTATGAGAATGCGATTGGCAGCCAACCAATCCATTCCTAGAATCACTTCCAAACCTTGAAGAGGTAAGAAAATGAGGTTCACCTTATATCTACGTCCCTCAACCTCAATAGGGCATCTAACACAGACCGTAGACGTCCTAACCTCACTAGCCGCTAGGGTTGACACCACCAAGTCGAACTGCATGTCACTCTCAACCAAACCCAATTTCTCAACACGCGCCTTCGAGATGAAGGAATGTGTTGCCCCCGAGTCATACAACACACAACAAGATTTACCATACAGCAAGAAAGTACTGAAAATGAGGTTACCTGAGCTTGTTGCTTCCGCACCCGTTATAACATAGACACGCCCAACAGCCTGTGCTCGTCCACCCTTTCCTTGTTGAACTCTTCCAGCATTCGGTGGCCTCATCACTACTCATCCTCCCATGTCACACTCGCTCCCCAGATGACCATTTCTTCTACAACGAGTGCAAAACTTTCCTCCCAATAGTTGAGGACACAACGACCGGTAGTGTGGTCCTCCACACTGAAAACATGTTACGGTCCCTTGCTGTCTAGACCGACCAACAACCACCAAATATTGTGACTGAGACCCACCAGAAGTAGATGGTAACGTTGGACGAGCGTAAGGCGTTCTCCTCAGATTCACATTGTTTCTTGAAGATATCGGTCCTCTTGATGCATGTTGTTGATGTTTCTTCTGTTGTTCCACCTCTACCACGTTCTTCTCCAATACTTTAGCTCTCTCAACCATGGCAGGAAAAGACCTAATACATAGGCTGGATATCAGTAGCTTCAAATCACTCCTCAGCCCATTTTCAAACTTCCTACATTGTCATTCCTCACTGGTCGTCATAGTGTTAAATCTCACTAAGTGTTTAACTTGTTGGTGTATTCCGACACATACATCCCACCTTGCACCAACTGAAGAAACTCCATCTCTTTAGCGAAACGCACGCTATCTGGGAAGTACTCCTCATAGCACTTGCTTCTAAAGACTTCCCATGAGATGCGACTTTGGGCGTCCGCCAAAATCATCTTTATGCTCGTCCACCAATGACTGGCCTGCCCCGTCAACAAGTACCCTGTAAAGGCCAGCCTCTTGTCATCTGGACACCCCTTAGCATTATAGATTCGTTCCATGTCTCTTAGCCACTGATCGGCCTCATCAGGGAGGCACTTACCATTGAACTTAGCAGGGTGATGTTGGAGGAAACTCTCTAAGCTTCACTCGGTCTGATGAGTAGCGTTGGAAGTGAACGCTCCGACGATATTCCTCGTGGTGGCTACGATCTCCATCAGTTGTCTTTGAGTCGCTTCAGAGTTGGCACGTGCGGCTTCCAAACTCTGTAAAGAGATCGTGTTCTACTGCACCAAGGCAACGTTCTGCTGTTGAAGTGTTTCTATTACTGATTCCAATAATCTATTGTGATCAACTGTATCACGCTCGGTAGGTTGAGGAGGAGGTCTTGGTGCCATTTGTTCTCTGAGAAGCAGAAAAACAGTCATTAGTTAAATTCCGAAAGTTTGATATACTCATCAAACTAACGTTGAGCACACAACAAAAGCATAGTATATTCATAACCTACAGTGTTCTTTAAGGAACAAAACTGCTCTGATACCACTAATGTAACATCCCAAAAATACAGTATAACTATATAATAGAATAATTACATTTACCAATAAGTCAGATCAGTCTTATACTAAGAATAACGTATGGTTATGGCCGAACGGTCTTACACAAAGGTTACGACTAAAACTATACAAAATAAGCAAACCTGACCGAACGGTTTACAAAAGTTTACATCGAACGGTCAAATATAATCAAAAAAGGAGGTGATCAAACGACCACCTTACTGTAACTAGACTAATGACCGAACGTCCTATTATTCGGTCTTCACTTCCACCTCAACAAGATTTTCTTCCGCTAAAGCTTCTTCCAGGAACTCGTCTCCTTCTGCTCACATCCACAGCGGATGATCATTGCAATGACAAAGACGGATGTACAAAATAAGACAACACAAGGAAAACATAGGGTAAGCTTATGTAATTTAATTCATGTATAGACATACATTTCACACAATCAAACACACAAGATATATTTCATCATACGTTTCATATAAATCATAATACTAAACTGACTGTCCGGACTGTATGAAATCTGTGTAGCTACAGGCGTTCGTGCACCCGGGTGATGTAGTAACTGGGATACCCTCAACAGTTGCCACCCGAGGTTAGTACTATTAGTCCAAAGTAACCCTAAGGACTAGGACCTTCTGCCGTTCCCACACATGACCTACCCCCTCTACGTGAGGACAAGTAAAAAAACAACATTTAACCTCGCACAATAGGCTTCAGTTTAGAAGAAATCGAAGTCTATCAGAACACGGTGACATTTTTG